CCATGCAGAGTGACTAAACATTTTTTCCAACAAAGGAAAAAATGCAAACGATCAAAGTGCAGAAGCAGCCCTTGGCCAGCGAAGGCGCCGGTTTCCGCCTCCCGCCGCCGCTGCCACCGCCCCTGCGCCTTTAGATTTCGGGCAGCAAGTTTAATTGCTTGCTTGGAACGCGTCCTCGGAAGGGCACCGCCAGCAACTGCGGCTTCGCGCCCCGCCCCTTCCCCCAAGTCCCGGGCGGGCGTCACGTGACGACTGAGAAAAGTAGGGGAAAGGTCAGCAGCAGCCCCGCCCCCGGGCTGGCGCGTCCCAGGCGCTCGGATCCTGTTCCACCCGCCGTGCCCACAGAGACCTTCCGGAGCGAGCTGGCGCGCGTCCCTGTGGCCACCCCAGCGACAGCGGGAGAAATGCAACGCACCTCTCCGTGGAAAGGTCGAGCCCTGCGGTGCCCAACTTTGGGGACAGCTCGGTGCCCAGTGCTTCTGATGACAGATGCTGCATCCAACGAGCCAGAAACGCAGGCACCGCGCTCAAGAGCCCAGGGCGCGTCTAAAAGGGGCTCACTGTGAAGCCCCAGTGAAAACTGACAGTGTTTTTATGAATGGGCACGCGGGGCCAGGGTTGGGTAAGGGCAGGCCCTCGTTCCAGGACTCCCCGGAGGCCCAGCTTGACCGCTTGGTGACCACTGGTCCGGGGCTGGGGCCAAACACAGCAGCCGCAGCAGCATCGGAAGGAACCCAGTTTAATTCTCTGCCCCAGGGTAGGCGGCTTGTGTTTAGTACCAACTCGAAACGTTATTTTGGCCTGTGCATGATGCTAATTTCTGCCACTTTGAAACAAAGTGTGTGCACTCCCAAACCTGGCCCTTTTTACTGTTTGATTCCAACTGTTAAGATAGAGTTCAAGTGCAAGGTCGAGGCAGCAATGCTTCACAGGAAGGAAACCAGTAATTTACATGCGAAAAGCAGTCCACAGGTTCTTGGTATTGAGGCAAAATCAACCCAAAGAATCCCCAGACCAAATGACAGCTGGATGCTCGCTGGCCTCAGCGGTGTGCATCCTCAGCGACACTAATGTCCTCAATTTAATTGCTACGTTTACTCGGTTAGAGTCGCCTTAAAGAATTTGGAAAGGCCCGGGGGTGGGGGTGCTTCCTGAAATAAATAAAAGACCAGGGCTCAGCCACTTTTTATTCACTTGGTGTGTGGCTTAGAAGGAAATAAACATGCTTGCATATCTGGAATGACCAGAAACCGGACACCTGTGGAAGAAAATAGTGTAACAAAATACACCGTTGCAAAAGGTAAAACCGATTTTCATTTTATTCGGTAACTTACAAAGTTACCGGCTTCCTACTAAAATCTGTTCTTAAATATTTTATAACACACGGAGCCGAGAGGAACCGAAAGCCTGTGCCGAGTTGGGAATATTAACTCTGTTACGTATTTAACCTGGTAGTTAGCTGGGATTTTAACTCTCTGAGTTGTTTTCTTTTTTTCTTTTTTCTTTTTTTTAAGTAAGATCAGCCCTCGTCTTTGAGTCCTGCGGCTTTAAGGAAAGCCAAGGGCGGATTTACATTATGAAGACGCTGATCCACGGCCTTTCCTGACAAAGCGAAAGAAGCCGGCTGTTGGCTGGCCGCGGCGGTGGCTCCAAGAAGGGGCTGCCCCGCGTGGCCCTGACCGCACCGTCAGGCTCGCTGGCCAAGTTCGCCAGGGCCCGGCCACGTGACACCCCCACCCTCCAGCGGCCCCGCAGCTCCCGGCCCGGCACGACCTTGGGCACGCGCTCCGCGCCCACCTGCCCTTGACCCAGCGTTGCACGGGAGAGGCTGCGGGGCGCTCCCAAGCAGGCACGGAGCCCGGCACCCTAATCCTGCTCACGGCAGCGCTCGGACCGCGCCTGGAGTCCCTGCGCCAAGGGCGTGTCCCGACGGCTGCACTGCGAGGGCGGGCTTGGGGAGGGGGACCGGGGAGACCGGCGCTGGGATGGGGTCAGCGGCGTTCTGCCGAATCCCGAGGGCCAAGCATCCCTCCCTCAGCCGCACTGCACCTGCTCGCAGGTGACCGATCCACGGGCGGACCCTCAGACCCAATCCTCTCCGGAGCCGGGGTGGGATGGGCAGGGACAGGAGCCGGAGGCCCTACTGGCCCCGGGCGAAGGCATCCTGGAAAGCATCCAGAGCGTCCAGCATCCCTCCCGCGGCCACCCGCAGGCAGACCGACCCCCGGTCAGACCCTCAGACTCAATCCAGTCCGGGGCAGATTAAGGAGTGGGAGACAAGGGAGCCGGTGGCCCTGTTGGCCCCGGGTCGGAGGCCTCCAGCCAAGTCCGGAGGGCCGAGCATCCCTCCCACGGCCGCACGGGACCCGCCTGCTGACGGACCGACCCCCGGCAGGCCCCCCAGACCCAATCCCCTGCGGGACATGGGGAGCCCCGGCCCCTCTCCGGGTTCAGGATCTCCACAACCCCGCCGTCCGGGGGGAATACCGGGGTTCCTCTCGGCGTCCCGGTTCCGGCGGGGTCCCCCTCCAGGTCCGGTTCCCGGCAGCCCCGCGCGCCGCCCGTGCCCGGCCCCCGCAGCCCGCAGGGCCGCTCCGTCACCCTCCCCACCGCGCGCGGCCGGGCCTCACCGAATCAGCGACGGAGGTGCGGCAGCGGCAGCGGCGGCGGCGGCGGTGGCAGCGGCGGCAGCGGCGGCTGAGTGAGCGAGCGGCGAGCGGGCTCCGGAGAAGAAGGGCCGCGGGTGAGGCCGAGCGCACCCGACGCCGGCGGCAGCGGATTGGCTGAGGCGGGTCCGGCTGCGGCGCGGGCGGGCGGGGGACTCCCGGCGCGCGGAGGGCGGACCCGGGGCCTGGGCGGGGCGGGGCGTCCACGGGGCGAGAAGGGGAGGGAAACTGAGGCTCCCGCGGGTGCTCGCGTCCTCGACCTCTGCCGGAATGGGGTCTAGGACGAAATTCCTCACCCTCCGAGCCTCAGTTTCCTCATCCGTAAAATGAGTCATCTCGTGGAGGCCGTGCGCATAAAATGCTTGGCTATGTGCCTGGCTCATGCTCGCGACTTATCGGCATTGCCCCGTGTAATGCTCCAGGCACCCCCTGATGGTATTCACCCCCGACTCCTTTATGCAGACAAGGGTGGCGGGCCAGGAAATAAATTGTCCAACGTCACTGAGCTGAGGAGCAACCGATCCACCGGGAGTGGTGGCGCGCGCCTATAATCCCAGCTACTCCGGAGGCTGAGGCGGGAAGATCGCTTGAAGCCAGGAGTTCAAGGCCAGCCTGGGCAACGTAGGGAGACCCCCCCGTCTCTAAAAAAAAAAAGCGGGGGGAATGATAGACCGGACAGTGGGTCCAGATCTGACTCCACAGCCCATGCGCCAAATCAGACCTTATACCACGAGCGATCCGGAGGCAGCGTGGCTCCTCCTCATCTAGCTAGGATATAAATGCCTTCCTTACTGGGCTTTGGTGAGATTTACTAAAATAATTCTTCCAACGTCAAGAACATAATAGGTGCCGGGAGAGGAGTAGCTGGAGTCCAGGGCAGAGTGACCGAGAGACCCTTGTGCTGGAGCTCGGGAGAGGGGCCGGGAGCGGGAACTGAACATCCACCCGTCCCGGGAGTCTAGGGCGAGCGCAGCTGCAGGGGACCCGGGGGGTTGACGGGGAGGGAGAGGGGCCCCAAGCATAACAGGAGGGCCAAGGGGCTTTTCCTGCCCGGGAGCCACCCCTCCCCTATCTTTACCCGCAATGCTTCCAGGCGTGAGCTGGCAGCTCTGCATACAGCAGGTGCTCCATAAGTGCACCGATTTTATGAACAAAGACTCTTTTAAACCACTTTTTATGAACCCGGCTCTTTTTAAGGTCGACTACTTCTAGTTATGAAAAATCCATGTTAGCAACCATCCTTCTCTCTGTATTATTTGGCTGTTACCGCAGAATAATTTAGAAGAGAAAATGAAAGTTCTCCTTTGATCCCGCCCCCCACCACCGCTGCAGTTAACTCTCCCTGTGGTTCTCAGGCTCACTGTTTTAAAGGAAGGCTAGGAAGCAAGTTGTCTGTAAGCTGTTTTGTTTTCGCTTGGCTTCAGTCGTGGACATAGTTCTCTGTGGGGGGACGGAGATGAACGCCGGCCTTCCCAAGGCTGCGTAAGATTTCCTTTTACGATGCTGTGATCCATTTACGCGGCCCCCAGTGGACAATTAAGCCCTCCTCCCCGCCCCCCACCCCACCATTGCAGGTATAAATAAAAGCTGCGTTGGCCGTCGATGTACCTCTTGGAGCTCCTGGTTCTCCTGTAGGATAGATCCCTGGAGGGGACGCAACCAGGCACATGCAACATTTTGATGCCACAGGCCAAGCTACCATGCCGAAAAGCTTACCAACTTCCACTACCACCCGCGCGTGCAAGCGGGTCCCTGTCTCCGATTAGGGATTATTTTAAACTTTGCCAATCCTAAAAGGAGGGGTGAAGGAGGGAAGAACCTCTCATCTCTCCTTTTAATTTGCGTTTCTTTGAGGTCAGAAGTTGGGGGTTTGTCCCCCTGCTGGCTCTTGTCTGGACCACAAGTGAGCCCGGGCACTCGACCCCCGCAGATTTCACCGCCCCAAAAGGCAGGGGGGCTGGGCCAGGGCACACGTTCCCGACGCGCGGCTGCACCCCACGAGCCCTGGCGGTTCTTGCGCGTGGGGCTCTCCTTGCGCGTGGGCCTTCGCGGTTTGCGCTACAGAAGCTGGACTGTCATTCTCACCTCAAATGCCCTTCCCTCCTTTCCCTGGAACCTCAGTCGCCTACAGGTCCCGGCTCCAAGGTCACTTCCTCCCTCGCTCAGCGCCCCGGTGCGCGCCCAGCTGGGATTGGCCCCGCGCCCTGTCTGTTCCCAGGGCTCTTCGGCCTTGACAGTGCGCCCTTCCCTGCGCCCCGCCTCGGTGCCACCTGCAGGCCGGGCGGGGCAGGGACAGGTACCCGGTCTGTGGGGGCGTCGAGGCGCCACGCTTACCTGTGCCATGGAGGCCGTGCTCTCGGCGGCGGCAAGGAGCCTGCGACTGCAGCCACACTGGGGAGGCCTCATTCCCCTCCCGCCGACCACGCGGCAGCTGTCCTCCCCCGGTCGGCGGCTCCCCCGGCAGCGAAGCTGAGTCTATTAATAAAGAACCAGAGAACAGGCCCCCCGGGGAGCTCCGGGCCTGAGCCTCAGTTCCCTGGGGCCAAAAAACATCTCCATGCCTGCCTCCGAAGCTGGAATAATCTTTCTCAAGCCTTGTGGTTTTTTTGGGTTTTTTTTTTGTTTTTTTGTTTTTTTACAAATTCTGCCCCAGTTTGAATACTGTAGCAGTTGCCTACCATAGCTACAAGAAAACTTTTCTTTTTAATGCAGGTAATGTTTTTATTTATCGCTAAGATTTCTCTTTTTACTCTAAAAAATACTTTTTTATGGAAAAATCCAAACCTTTTTGTTCATTCATTCATTCATTTTTGAAACAGGATCTTTCTCTGTTGCCCAGGCTGGAGGGCGGTAGCAAAATGACAGCTCACTGCAGCGTGGACATCCCAGGCTCAAGCAATCCTCTCACCCCAGCTTCCTCAGTAGCTGGGACCACAGGCAAGTCCTGCCATGCCTGGCTAATAGTTTGAAAAATCCAAACCTTTGAAAAAAATTAACCAGAACAGTATAATAAAGGCCCGTACAACCAAAACTCAAGTTCAAGAGTTACTGAGCTAGGGCCAAGGTATATGCTTGTGTTCCTACCCACTCCTGCCCAGTCCTACTGTTTATTTTAAAGCAAATTCAGAAATCCTACCGTTATGTCCACAAATTCCTTTTTTGTTTGTTTGTTTTTTGTTTTTTGAGATGGAGTATTGCTCTGTCCCCCAAGCTGGAGTGCAGTGGCGCAATCTCACCTCACTGCAACCTCTGCCTCCAGGGCTCAAGCGATTCTCATACCTCAGCCTCCTGAGTAGCTGAGATTACAGACGTGCATCACCATGCCCAGTAATTTTTGTATTTTTAGTAGAGACAGGGTTTCACCATGTTAACCAGGCTGGTCTCCAACTCCTGATCTCAGGTGATCCATCCGCCTCAGCCTCCCAAAGTGCTGGGATTACAGGTGTGAGCCATTGCGCCCAGCCCTCAAATTCTTGAGTACAAACTTCTAAAAGATAAATATTCTTAACTAAAAAATATGACCATACTATCGTTGTCCCATCTAAAATAGATGAACAATTGTGACAGAAAATGGTAAACCCTGTTGCCTGCCAAGAGCACAGCTGAGTCCCCACTCGATCTCACCAGCCTCGCTCGTTTCCTGCTGGAACTACAGCAGATTCTGCCAGAGTATGTACGTATTTGGCCTCCGTACTGTGGTCCCAATGTAGAACGAACCCGCTGGAACTCGTCCTGGGGACTGTCATGTTGAGTCTCTCAGGAGATAAGGTCGTGTTCGTCTTCTGGAGAAATCGCCT